TGTAGATGTTTCTTTTCTGCTAATACTATGCCATTTTGATGACTGTTGTTTTGTAGTATAATTTGAAATTGGGCAGAGTGATGCCTTTAGCCTCATTCTTTTTTCTCAGGATGGCTCTGGCAATTCGAGGTCTTTTGTTCTTCCATACAAATTGGATGATTTTTTGTTCTATTTTTTTTTTTAAATACCAATGAGATTTTGAAGGAAATTGCATTAAATCTGTATAATGCTTTAGATAATAAGGTCATTTTAACTACGATGATTCTTCCAATCCAAGAACATGGAATATCTTTCCATTTCTTTGTATCTTCAATTAAAAAAAAAAATTAGGGTCTTATAGTCATCATTTTATAGGTCCTTCACATGTTTCATTAAGTTTATTCCTAGGTATTTTTTTCTTTGTTGCAGTTGTAAAAGGAATTATTTTTTCCACTTCTTTTTCTGACACTTCATTATTAGAGTATAGGAACGCTATGGTTTTTGAACATTGATTTTGTATTCTGAAACTTTACTTACTATATTTGCTAATTGTTTCTAGTAGTGTTCTTGTGGAATCATTAGGGTTTTCTATATAGAGAATCATGTCATCCACAAATAGTGACAGTTTGAGTTCTTCATTTCCTATTTGGATGTCTTTTATATCTTTCTCTTGTCTAATTGCACTCACTAGGACCTCCATTTTCATATTGAATAACAGTGGACAGCCTTGTCTTGTTCCCGATCTTAGAGGAAAGGTTTTTAGTTTTTCACCTTTAAGTATATTGTTTGCTAAAGGCTTGTCATATATGGCCTTTATTATATTCAGGTACTTTCTTCCTATACCAGTTTTGTTAAGTGTTTTGATCATAAATGAATGTTGTATCTTGTCAGAGGCTTTTTCTGCATCTATTGATAGGATCATATATTTCTTAGTTTTTTTGTTTGTTTATGTGGTGTATCACATTAATCAATTTGTGTATTTTGAATCATCCCTGTGCCCTTGGGATGAAGCGCACTTGATCATGGTGTATAATCTTTTTAATATGTTGCTGTATTCAGTTCTCTAGTGTCTTATGTAGGAATTTTGCATCTGTGTTTATGAAAGATATTGGTCTATAGTTTTCTTTTTTTTTGTGTTATCTTTACCAGGTTTTGGTATCTGGATGCCTTATTTTCTCTGTTGTCATTTGTTGTCAGTTTCATTTAATTCTCAAATTTTTGTTCTTCTGACTTTGGGTTTAATTTTTCTTTTTCTAGTTAAGATGTAATGTTATTTATTTGGGATTTCTTGTTTTTTGAGAAAGGCCTGTAATAATGTGAACTTTCCTCTTATTAAAACTTTTGGGATACAGCAAAACTGGTAATATGTTGTATTTTCATTCTCATTTGTTTATATGTATCTCTTGATCTCTCCTTTGACCCAGTGTTCTTCAGTAGCATGTTGTTTAATCTCCACCTATTTGTGGTTTTCCCAACTTCGTTTTTGCAGTCGATCTCCAGTTTCAAAGAATTGTGATTGTAGAATGTGCTTGGTATGATTTCAGCCTTCTAAAATTTGTTGAGGCTAGTTTTGTGTTCCAATTTATGGCCTAAACTTGAGAATGTTCTACGTGCACTAGAAAAGAATGTATAATCTGGTGTTTTGGCATGAAATGCTCTATAAATGTCTATTATGTCTAATTTGTATGATGTGTGATTATTGATTTCCTTATTGATTTTCTGTTTGGATGATGTATCAACAGCTGGGGTATATAGTGAGGTATTTAGTTTCCTTATTATAATTGTGTTTTTGTCAATTTCTGCCTTTAGTTATGTTAGTAGTTGCTTTATATATTTTGGTGCTCCCTGATCGGGAGTATATATATTGATAAGGGTTATATCTTCTTGATGTATTATCCCCTTTATCATTTTGAAGTGTCCTTCTTTGTCATTAACTTTTTTATATTGAAGTCTATTTCATCAGATATATGTACGGTTATACCTGCTTTGCTCTGGATGCCATTTGCTTGGAATATCATTTTCTACCGTTGCACTTTGAGTCTATGTTTGTCCTTTGAGCTGAGATGTGTCTCTTGAAGGCCACATATGGTTGAGTTTTGTTTTTTTGATCCAATCTGCTACTCTATGACTTTTTATTGGAGAGTTCAGTCCATTTACATTTAGGGTGATTTTTGAAATATGAGGTTTTCCTATAGCTGTTTTATCTTTTGTTTTCTGGTAGCTCGGTGTTTCCATTGTTTCTTTTCCCTTGTGTTTCTGTTAATTTAATTTTGTGAAATTCTATGATTTATCCCTCTGTTCCCTCTTTTTTAGCTTATATTTCTTAGTTCTGGATTTTTGTGTGTGTGTGGTTACCATTAATTCTATGTAAAAATGTTTCATATATACAGGAGTTTTTCTTCTTTGTGCATCTTATCTCCATTTTCCTTTGCAGATTCAGACCTTTACCCCCTACCCTTTTCTGTTTTTGTTGTCTCAAATTATCCCTATTTATGCTATGAGTTCATTTCTTAGTTAGAGTACCTGTTATCTTCTCTTTTTAAAATGTTTTTATTTCCTTTAACCATTATGTAACATTTAAGTTTATAATACCCTATTCATAAAAAGGTTTGCACTTTCTTTCTGTCTATTAATCATCCTACTCTTTAGTCCTTTTGTTTCAGGTGGAATGACCCATTCAATTTTCCTGTAATACAGCCTTTGTAGTGGAAAATTCCCTCAGCTTTTGTGTTTCTGAAAAGATTTTTATTTCTCCTTCATAGCTAAAGGAGAACTTTGCTGGATATGTTATTCTTGGCTGGTAATTTTTCTCTTTTAATAGTTTTAATATTTGGCTCCACTTCTTTCTTGCTTATAAGGCTTATGCTCAGAAGTCCGAAGATAGTTTGATTGGTTTTCCTTTATAAGTTACCATTGTCTTTTCTCTGGCTGCCTTGAGAATTCTTTCTTTGTCATTAATTTTTGACAGTTTTAATATAATGTGTCTTGGAGAAGGCCTTTTTGGATTGAGATAATTAGTTGTTCTATTTGCTTCTTGGATTCGAAGTTCCAGTTCTTTCCATGCACTTAGGCAACTGTCTTCGAGTATTTGTTTGAATAGGTTCTGTTCCCTTCTCCCTCTCTTCCGGTATACTCATTATTCTTATATTGCTATTTCTGATGGTATCAGATAGTTCTTATAGAATTCTTTCATTTTTTTTTTAACACTCAAATCTCTCTTTACTTTCTGTGTCATTTCCAGATTTCTGTCTTCAGCATCACTAATTCTTTTCTCCATCTGGTCAGCTCTGTTTCCTAAGCTTGTTCTTTCATTCTTCATCTCCAGAATTTCTATTTGGTTCTGTTTTAGAGTTTCAATCTCCTTGGTAAAGTATTTCTGTTGTTCATTGATTTTGTTTCTTAAGCTCTTTCAACTGTCGATCTGAATTTTCTTAAATCTTGTTGAGTTTTTTCATAAGTGCAATTTCGAGTTCTCTCTCATTGGAATCACATATTTCTATAGCTTTAAGTTTATTTTCTTTTGATTTTTCATTTTCTTTCTGAGTTGCTTTGCCATCTTGGTTCATGGTATTTGATGGAATTTTTTTTCTGTGCTTAGGTATTTATGGGAATGTACTCTGTTTTTTAAAATTATAATTATTTAGAGTGATCTCTCTTTAGCTGGTTGATAAGAAGAGGTTTTTATTTTGTATTTTATACATGGTGCACAAGCCTTCTGCACTGCCCAGACCTCCCTGACCTCTCTGTGTGGTAATAAAGTGCTCTTTATTCTCTGAGGAGGTGTGTATCTCTTCTGTAACCAGCTCACCTCGGTCTCAGGGCTCCATCCCTGTGAGAGAATGTGATAGGTGTTGGGGATCCAGTTTTCTGAAGAGCCTCTGAATTCCTGATGCTGCCCCAGCAGTCAGATATATAGTGTTGTGTTGCCCCAGTGCCACCTCCAAGTTAGCCTGGATGGGTGGAGGTGTAGTGGGTTGGGTGAGGCCACTGGTGTGCCTGTTGTTGTTCTCCTTCCAGTAATGCTGGCTGCCAAGGTTCAGCTGCCTGGCCTCTGTATCTGAGGCCAAGTCACTGAGATCAGTAGCAGTGTGCTTCTCTACAGTTCGTGGGGTACTATACTCGCTATTGTAGTTTCCCTTAGGAAGTTTGGGAAGGCAGGCTCTAAGAGGTTGGGGGTAGGCGGCCAAGCTCTGTGACTCAGCTTTCTGCCTGGCAATACAGCTGTCACCCCTCTGTATTCCGTCTCTGCCCAG